TCCTAGGTTAGTTCCTTTGACAAACCTGGCAACTTTCTCCATAGATTTGGGATCCCCCTTCATACCACGCCACCAGAACCGCTGCAACAGATTAGCAGAAGCTTTCCTGAAACTAAGTGACCTGGTGCATTATGGCATTCCCCTAAAAATAGGCTCGTAAGGGTTTCACTGTTCGGCACATTCTCTCTACCCTGTCTGTACATGGAAACGACAGTCCCTCTGTCGTCCTATAGTCTCCCCTATCATCCGATAATCTTCACTCACCTTTCTATTGTGTGTGCTGAGATGTTTGATGATTTCACTGAGAATGCTGTCATTCTTGTAGGCTCTTCTGCCTGCTGATATACAAGCCGGTCTAGATCAAACTCCGGCACAACTGCACGTACAAAGTCTGCATCAGCAACCACATTGTACTGCCCTTTGACATTCTTTAGCATGAAGTCAAACATGCCAATGAATGACAACCACTGCTTCAGTGGATGGGATAGCGTGGGCTGAGTTTTGATCCACTACAGAGTCCCATGGTCAGACCTTCACAATGTCTCCCATGCAGATAGAACGTGCTTCCAGTGTTTCAAAGTCATTCAAAGAGCACAAAGTTGCTTGTTGTGGGTGGATCATTCTATTTTCATAGACGGCATCTTCTTCGAAATACACCCAAATGGTCGCAACTTCCTACCCTTCGCTTGGTGTAGTACTGCGCCTATCCCATACTAGTTGACGTTAGTGGTCACAATGAAAGCTTATCTGGTTCTGCAATTTTAAGGACTGAATGATTGATTGAAGTGCTCGCCACTTGCTTCTAGGCCTTCTCACGTGCATGATCCCATTCCTAGGAGGTATGAAGTTGAGTCACATCAGTCAAGGGGCAAGCTATTGTGTTGTAATTCTCTCGCAAATCCCTACACTTATAGAAATCGCTAGCGTGAGAATTGGCCGATCCGGACCGCCCATGGTCCTACTGGCCCGACGGTCCAGATTCCGTGTGATCTTAAGACTTTAAGACTTTAAGATCGCGCGACGATCCAGACCGTTTGGCAGCCCGTTGAAAAGAAGGTCTGTCGTAAAAGAGTGGCCCTGACACTGTGACGCGCAACCTCACGCCCGACGCAACTTCCTGATCGGAGTGAGAGAGTGCCTGGAAGTGCGAAAAGGGGGGTGCCAAGGATTTTAGGAAAGTGGGGATAGAGTCCCAGGTCGGAACTGAGATCTCCTGTGCCAAGTTTCAGGGATATGTACGCAAAAGAGGGTAGGCGCGGGTCGGAGTCTGGGTTTATGTTCTGGAGGGCGGAGCTACTGCCTTCGCTGGCTCTGTCGTCTGGGTCGGACTCGTATTTGGTGTACCGTTGGGACGCTATGGCTATCTCGCTGGCTGATCACCTGCCGTCGTCGAACGTGGCAGGTCTCGGAATCAGACGCTGCCGGCCTCAGTCGAAGGCTGTGCGCCCGTCGTTCCTCCTCCGAGCGAGTTCGCCGGATGAAGTCGGACGCTCGGTGATCGCGGTCCTGTAGGCACTCTGAGCACGGGGGTTGGGGCCAACAGGGAACGATTGTGCACCAGGGGGCGATGGTCAGGGAGTGAAAGGGCAGTATGCGGTGATAGGGAGGGAAGTCGGTTTCCAGAATGATTATTTTGGGTTCTGCGACGAGGTGACACGTGTACGAGCTAGGAAGGTCGGGGTGGTGGGGAATACGCTCTAGGGCCCGATCAATATCCCACTCATAGATACGTTCGTTTCCCGTCGGGTATGGAAATTTTGGAAGTTCTCTCCGCGATAGTGTAGACACCCACACGTGCTCCCAATATTCCCGGAATTCCTGGTCCCTCAAGCACTTGTGGTCAGTGATATGGAAGGGGATTTCGATATTCATGCTGCGGGGTGGGGCGGAATTTCAGGCATTCAAAAAGTTGGGCCGAGTACAGGCTTTGCAAACACGCGTGTAAGTCACGTCCTTTCAGTCAGGCTGCGTGCGTGCACAAGGCCTATCCGTCGGCCTGGTGGATAAGGGCCAGCAGTGCACGATCATTGCGTGCTGGCTTCTTAACCCGAAGGCTGGGCAATCCTATCGTGAGACGGACATCTGATCATCTATCATACTCTAGTGAGACAGAAAAACATCAAACATCCATGCATCCAGCTTCAAACACATACAATTAGCAAAAAGAAAGGGAGTGATAATCATCCATGCATCAATTTCTTCGGCTACTGGTCAGAACTAGTATTGATTAGCCAATCAGGTCGTTACTTCACACAAAAGGAGGAAAGTGGGAGAAGCAATCATGCATCAATCATCAGAGACAAAACAAAGGGAAAATCCGAGATGCCGATCAAGGTAAGCAAGGGCGACTTGCGCAAGATACCAAAATTATTCAGAAGAATGGAAGAAAGGCACCACTCCAACACATCCCGTCTCTCTCTCTCTCTCTCTCTCTCTCTCTCTCTCTCTCTCTCTCCTGTCTCTTATACACATCTAGATGTGTATAAGAGACAGGTTAAGCATTAACGACTGCCATATATATGTTGTCACATATCTATCCAGTAAAAAAAAACACTTTGTGCAATAAAGGGTAAACATACAGAAGATGAGCACAAAGAGCACACTGAAACCGTTCTTTTGACCATTTCTTCTTTTAGCTCCCCCTTTACTGTGCTTCTCTCATACAAGGCTCGCCACGTTGATGAAGTTAAGTGGAGCTGCCTGCATCCCGACTTTGACTACACTAGTGCATCAATAAGAACAAATATATGACAGGTGTTTCTCTTTCTCTCTGCCCCCCCCGCTCTTCTCTCTCCCTCTCTCTCTTTCTCTTTCTCTCTCTCTCTCTCCCCCCCCTTCATTGCTGATAGACTATGTGGATGTGCACACACACAGAGCGGGCTTTATCTCTCTCTCCCCCTCCTCCATTGCTGATAGACTATGTGGATGTGCACACACACAGAGCGGGCTTGATTGTTGTTCTTTCCACTGGGTTTGGTTAGAGGGCCAAAGAGAAGTTGAGGCTGGATCACTAGATTATAACAATGACTATTTGGTGGCCTGTGACCAGCAGCCAATCTGGGCCCTCCGTTTCGTTGGCGCACAACGGTCCATATTGGCTGCTGATCGTTTATGATGTCATCAACTCGCAATCTGGACCGTTTTCGGCGTTGAACCACGTGGTCCAGATTGCATATTGATCGTTTTGGAGACGATCGGTGGGCCGGTAGCGAATTCCCGCTGGGCCGGTAGGCCCTGGCCCGGTAGTGCCACCCACGGCACTCCCCAGGCCAATTTTTGGCCCGGTAGTACCGCGTGCGGCACTCCATAGGCCAATATTGGATCGGTACACGCGCGCGAAGTTGATGTAACTAACATTTTTTTGCTAGGCTGCGCCAGAAAGAAACGGCAAACTTCGACCTCGACACTAATGTAAAGGCTACACTCGACTTCAACGCTGGCTGGCTACGACTCTACTCTATGCTACTGGACTTTGACTCTCTACGCTCNCTCTCTCTCTCTCTCTCTCTCTCTCTCTCTCTCTCTCTCTCTCTCTCTCTCTCTCTCTCTCTCTCTCTCTCTCTCTTCACAACATCCCGATGCGGACAATCCGTCCCTTGCACCCACACAGAGTTGTCACCCTGCTTAGTCCGAGCATGCAAGCCAGGTTCGCCCGCGCGCCACAGTCTTTTGGGGCCCCGCGTTAACCCCGCATACTCAGCACCAGCCCGTCGGATCGCCCAACTCTCTACTCACCTCCCGATACCTGCTCGTCAACCGATCCTCTCAATCACGCTAACTCCAAAATTCATAGAGAGCGAGTTAATCGTGCTTGCGAAATTTATAGCGTGCATGCTTGCACGAGTTACTCAGAATTGCGCCTGGGTGGGAAGAAAGGAGGATGAAGGAAGTGCCTACGACTGCATGGCCAGGCCGCGGCGTGGGGGACGTAGCCACATTCCACGCATCGATCCGGTCATGCAAGCGTTCAGGCTAATAGGACAGGGGGAGAAGTATGAGTATACATGGGCGCCACAAAAGATATCAAGAATGAGAGGATTACAGTTGCAATCACGCCCGCCAAAACAAAGATTACAGTTACACGCAAGATTAAGGTGCGGAAAAGTCAGAGCACAGATCTTGACGCGGTGAAGTGCGCGCAAACAAGAAGCGTCGTGCAACAAAATTGCGACGTACCCAAATTCCTAGACTAAATCCTAATTACAAAAAGAAATTCCGCGAGAAGAAAAGTTTGAGAGCCCGGGGGGGTTCGACGTCAGTTGAAAATTCAAAAAAGATTTTCCCGCGCGACGATCGCTCCAAAAGTTCCCACTCCCTACAGCAGAACAGGAAAGAAGCTATGGCAACAGTTATCTTTCGTGCTCGCTAAGGCGCGATCAACTACCAACCGTCGTGGGACCATGCAAGCCTCAATTTCAAAAACAACAAAAAGCAAGGGCACCCATGCAATCCAGTGGACCATCCCGATTCAACTCCCGTAGTAGCCTTGCGCAGAAAATCGCACGGTTGCAGAAAACAGTTTGTCACAACACTTGCTGGCCAATGGCCCGTTGCTGGGCGGGCGGCGCTATGGCCCTGCTCACATCGAACGGCCCGTGACTTTGCGCACACGCTAGAGTTCAACGGCATCTGACTTCGTGTGTACTGTGTTGCAAGGCTGTGCTTGAGGCCCGTCCGAGGTGATGCCGTCTCAGCCCACCATCTCCGCCCACCTCCCCTCTGCCTCCCCCCACCATCTCCTCTCTCTCTTTACTCCCCCACCTCAGCCACTTCTCCTCAGCCTCCGCCACCTCCCGTCCGCCTTCTCGCGCCGTTTCCTCCCGCCATCTGTCCCACCAACTCCTCTCCGCTTCCGCCTCCCTATCCCCTGTGTGTGTGTGTGTGTGTGAAGCAAAGAGAGAGAGAGAATGTGTGTGTGTGTGTGTGTGTGTGTGTGAGAGAGAGAGAGAGCCCGTGGCGTGCGCCACCACCTCCGGCCTCGGCCACCGCCCACCTCCGCCCACGTCCGCCCACCTCCGCCCACCTCCGCCCGGCCTCCGCTAGGCCTCCGCCCACTTCCCGTTCCGCCTCTACACACCTCTGCTCGCCTTTGCCCACCTCCGCCCACCCCCCCGCCGTCTCCACCCACATCCCTTTCGCCTCCCCCCTCCATCTCCTCTCTTTCCTCCCCCGTCTTCGCCTCTTCTCCTTGGCCTCGGCCACCGCTCACCTATGCCTGGCCTCCGCTCGGCCTCCGCCCACTTCCCGTTCCGCCTCTCGACACCTCTGCCCGCCTTCACGCACCTCCGCCCACCTCCCCTCCGTCTTCGCCCGCCTCCTGTCCGCCTCCCCCCGCCATCTCCACTCTCTTTCCTCCCTTGCCTCCACCACTTCTCCTCCGCCACTTCTCCTCCGCCACTTCTCCTCTGCCACTTCTCCTCTGCCAACTCTCCTCCGCCACTTCTCCTCTTCCACTTCTCCTCTGCCACTTCTCCTCTGCCACTTCTCCTCCGCCACCTCCCGTCCGCCGCCTCCCGCCATCTCCTATCCATCTCCTCCCGCCATCTCCTCTCCACCTCCGCCACCTCCCATCCGCCTCCTCTCGTCATCTCGTCCCACCATCTCGTCCCGCCATCTCCTCCCGCCATCTCCTCTCCGCCTCTGACACCTCCTGTCCGCTTCCTCCCGCCATTTCCTCTCTGCCTCTGCCCACTTTTCCTCCACCTTCGCTCACCTCCTCTCTGGCCTTTGATCCGCCATCCCTTTGCCCGCCTTTAAAAAGAAAAACAAAAAAAAACGGTGTGCGCCCACCTTCCCTCGGCCAGCGCTGACCTTCTGTCCGCCTCCGCCTCCGCCCACCTCCCTCCCGTCATTGGGATCACCAATCTCCCCTCACCCTTCGCCCACCTCCCTTTCGCCTCCTACCACCATCTCCTCTCCACGTCCTTCACCTCCCGGATCACCAATCTCCCCTTAGCCTTCGCCCACCTCCCGTCCGCCTCCTCCTGCTATCCTCTGTCCACCTACGCCATCTCCCGTCCGCCGCCTCCAGCCATCTCCTCTTCGCCTCCGCCACCTCCGGTCCACCTCTTCCCGCCATCTCCTCTCCGCCTCCGCCAACTTTTCATCCACCTTCGCTTACCTCCGCTTTGGCCTCTGTCCACTGCCCGCACATCCGCCATCCCTCTGCCCTTTCCTCCACCTTTGTCGATGCCCACACATCGGCCATCCCCCTGCCCTTTCCTCCACCTTTTCCAGCGCCGGCACATCAGCCATCTCTTTGCCCTTTCCTCCACCTTCGCTCACCTCCGCTCTGTCCTCCGTTCTTTTGCTTGCACATCCACCATCCCTCTGCCCGCCTTTAAAAACAAAAACAAAAAAAAACGGTGTGCACCCACTCCTGTCCGCCTCCGCTGTCGAGCGCATCGGTCCGGTACCGCACAAAACCGGGCGGGACCCTCCCGGCCGCGTCATGCAGGAGTCGGTCTGATCCTCGCCGCGAATGCATATGGAGCTTCCGCAAGTCGCTCTGGCCGAGTGCGCCAGCCATACCTCTCGCGAGCCCCTACGACAGGATAGGGCCTACAAGAGGCACGAGTTACCTCCACCTTACAGGAGTTGTCACCTCCCTTCAGTGGGCGTATCCCTGCCGAGCTACCAGTCCACAGTACGAAAGGTAATCAGCTGGAATCGCAGAGGTGGACCAGTCGAGGGCGTTTCTCGTTCGTTGTAGCATAGGGGGTACGCACGGTTTTACGCCTCTATTTGACTCGCATGCGAACCGACGCCTTGGGGGGCTGAGGCCCCAAGCGCGACTCGTCGTCGGTCGACTAGGACGCATCCCACACACCACGTGTACACCACTCTAAGAACATAGAAGTTAAAACACGCACGCATACGCACATATATAGAACAAACAATGTGCGCGAGACTTAGTATAAAATCATGAGGACGCAGGGCTAACTCATATCGACTCGCAATGCAAGCATATGCAAGCAGTTACAAATGATGGCGTACTATGTAGTACCCATACTCGTCGTTAATCTCGAGGGTCGCATTCGACACTCAAGTGTCGGCTTGTCGAGGGTCGCATTCGACACTCAAGTGTCCGCTGACACGCGCCTTGAAGGGTTAATCTCTCGACGCTAGACAACCGCCAAGTGCGGTTGCGAACCACACCCTCTTCTGCACCCTGCGGAGAGTGGGTGGTACACAGGTTCATACCTGTGGTGGCAATCGTCTCTTATCACCTCGGGAGACCAGCTCTATTATCCAGGGCCTGGAAAGAAGTCAAGGGGTTTGACTTTGACGGCTGCCATGGACTACAACGTCCAACCATAAAAATTAATAAGCAAAACCAATCAGTAAGTAAATAAACACCCAACACTCATATATCAAATCAGAACTCGAGATAAAATAAGAGAAGGGGGAAACATAAACCCAATAGGTATGCAGATCGTGCGTCACATGGTTGTCATTCCCACTGCCTCCAAAGTAAGGCTCGTACACAGGCTCCAAGACACTAACCTGTATAAAACACAGACACAGACGAACGCCACATTGCCATGCACCAATGTGGTCAATTGTACTGCTCCCTGTAACTCGCACCATGCCTCAACCACTCAAGCCCCAGTCATAGTCCAATTTTCCATAAATCTCATAAGTTCTTTACAATGGATATTAAAAGAAGGTCGGCTAAAACCCTCAAAGAAACATGTCAAATCTTAGGGCTATTTTGACTAGCTCCTTGGTTTTGTAGAAATTTCGGCAGCACTCCCTTTGGAAAAGTGCTAATTCAAGATTTTTACAAAACAAAACTGAGTTCAAAATCTAATGTGACTTTGACTTCTCAAGGTCCAATTTTTTGTCTTAACTCTCTGAATTTGCAAAAGTTCGGGCAGCATTCCCTTTAGAAAAGGAGACTCTCAAGACTTTTACTAAGCCATATATAAAAGTCAGAGAAATTGAAACTTTGAGAAGACGAAGTCTGACTAACTCCTTGGTTTTGTAGAAATTTCGGCAGCGCTTCACGTAGAGAAAGTGACTTACCAAAATTTATACAAAACCAAGTATAACAAATGATCCTAGAAAATGCGAGAACTGATCTAAGTAAAAAAACTTAGCTCAGAAAATGCAGGAATTGAAACTAACTCTTATAGCTCTAGCGCGTGGCGAGCAACTAAAGCAACTACCTATCAAACTGAAACTCAAACTAAGTAGTGATCTCACTCAGCCACATGCAAGCCAAACCACAGAGGTAAGTACTCTCACCAACCCAAAGTCAAACATATCAAACAATAGTTCATGATCTTTCAATGATTTATCCTCTTATACCCAGCTTAAATAGGGCATAAAGCTAGACCACCCAAACTTCTGGGACATGTCTAGCTCAACCATTGAATATACACAAACACAGGGCACTACAACTTTTCTCTTCTTTGGGGTATATGACGAGGCCATCCTAGTCACCCTGATCTATTTAATTATCCCAGTTTAATATAATTATCTGCATTTAATCTTTTAAGGAAGCATATGGCTGAACCGATCATTTTTAGCTCGAGGTTCAGCCTGCCCATTCGTGCCACAAGTTTATTTTTAATTCATACTCTCTTCAGTTTGTGATAAGCTATAGTCAGACCACCCAAACTTATGGAACCTTGTCTGACTAGGCTGTTCATAGATAGGATAGTAATAAAATATTGTCAAATTATAGCCTTCTGGTTCCAGCATGTGCGTGGCGTTGGACCACGACCACCCAAACTTATGGAACATGTCTGGTCCTCAACCTGGTTCTTTTTCTTAAAGCCACAGCAGGAAGAGGCTGAGCCACCCAAACTTACGGAACATGCTCAGATCTCCTTGTTCATAACCAAAAGAAACTGAAAGAAACTCAAAGTAAACAAGGCGACCAAGCCACCCGAACTTATGGGACATGCTTGGTCCCTGAAAGTCAATCACAGTCAGCCCTCACAAGTAAGAGCAACCAGACCACCCAAACTTATCGAACATGTCTAGTTCTCCAGGCAATTCAAAATAAACATAGCAGTGGGTCTCCCCAAACTTATGGAGACTTGCCCAACCTTTGATTGACCCAGTCAGACTCTAGCAAAACAGCCTTTCTCCCATCCTTCCCCCATATGCAATCCCACAATCTGCTTTCAGTCAATACAACAAAAACTGAAACTGAATTTGCACAACAATTCCTTTATTAAGTCTTGTTTATGTCCTGAAGTCAAACTAAAAGTCAAATTAAAGGTGCATGCAGTATACTCAGTCAAAACGTATAACTGTGTTTATAGAGGGAATTTAATTGTTACCTCTCAGTTTCTCTAGAACTCCTCCTGAGTTCCGGCAGAGCTCTCGCAATTGGTGGGCAGACTCCCCACAGAGTCTTGACGCGGTTCTACGGGTTGCAATCCCGCTGTCGGGGCAGAAACCCTGACAAGGGTATCTGCCCGTGTTTTTCAACGTCGGACGCCGTCTGACCTATTCACTAAAATTGGACGACTTGATGAGATTGACGTTGCCAAAGTTACTCAGACCAACGCTATGACTGAGAGACCTAAACCTTTTAGAACCTGACGTCGTTGACGTAGGGCGGCATCGACGTCCTCGCGGGATAGCGGTAGTCGGCACTGTCATCCACGGGTCTCGACAAGGCCGCAGTAGTGTGCGGTCGTGGGGAAACTAAAGTTGAGCCTACCCTACTTATAATAAGGTCGTGCGGCTGTTAAGCCGCGCGATTCAGAGCCTAAGTGGGCTAGAAAGGGGTCGCAGCGGTAAGGATGGACCGCGGCGTGAAGGAACGGTTTAGGGTCCACAGGGCTTTTGCGCCGAGGACCGAGGTTGAAGGTGTCGGGGCCGGCTGGGTAGGGCAGTCGATAAGGTTGTCGGTTGTCGACCCCGCCTGCCAGCCACGACAGCAAGCCGGCTTAGTTGGCACAACCTGCTAGGCGTCGGAGGGGGGCCTGCTGGGCATCGGAAACCCTTCGTATAGAAGGGCAGCTCATTTCTTGATGTGAAAAGGAGCTAGCCCAGTAGGTACCGTCGCCAGATTATCGCCCCGCAGACATGGGGATCGAACCTGACTAACTGCACTACCGGGCTAGCTCCTTTTGGAGCAGCCCATTGTGTGAGGAAGGCCGCGGCCGATTTTCGGTCGTGGGATCTTTGAGATCGCGCGGCTGAAATCAGCCGCGCCGAGATTAGCTTGGCCCCTAGGTGAGGGTGACACGCGTAGATCGAGAAATGGTGTTTTTTTTTTTTTCTTTTTGAAAAGAAAAAAAAAACAGAGAGAAAAAAGAAAGAGATGCAGAGAAGCGAGATTGAACTACTCCCCCGCATCTCTCCTTGAAACGCGTCTAGATTTAGGAGCTCGATCCTATCCTTTCCCAAGGAGGATCTCGACCAGCAGGTCGTGGCTATGCCACGACATGACGTGACCGTTGGCATAAGCCAACGGAAAGGGAAAGAAAAAAACAAACAAACAAACAAACAAACAAACAAACAAACAAACAAACAAACAAACTAAACTGAAACTAGAACGAAGCGCCATCTGGTGCAGGGAGAAGTGACAGGGACTTAGTGTCCCCACGAAAAGTAACGGGCGCCCGTTTTTGGGCAGCCCCTTCAGATCGAGGTAGGATCTTCCTTTTTTTTTCGTCCTTTTAATTTTCTTCTTTATTAGATTTTGCTTAGATTTTTTTCTTGATTTCCTTTTTAGATTTGGTTTAGATTTTGTTCTTGTTTTTTTTGTTTTCTTTTTTGCTTTTGGTACCCGTTCGTTTCAGACGAACAGGCAGATATGACTGCGCACGACTGTTCGTCGGACTTCCATAGACTATCAGGGGGCGTTGCCCCAGCAGCCCATCTAAGGGTGGGCGAATGTATTTGCCGCCTACGGGCGGCTCCATGCAGGGTAGTAGGGGGAAGGGCGAACTGACTGCGCCAGACTGTTTCTTCGGACCTTCACCGACTCATCAGGGGGTTGAACCCCGACAGTCTGCCCATGGGCAGCGAATGGGCCGCCCTAGGCGACCAGGTTCAGAGAGAGAGAGAGAGAGAGGGACCAGCTGCTTGCTCCCGTTGAACTTTGAGACGGGCTGCAGTGGTTGCCTGTGCGCCCGAACCTGGCGCGGAAAGCGTCCGGGTACGGGCGCGGGCAAAGGGGGAAAAGAGAGCCCTGCTGAGCTTGACTTTAGTTCGACTCTGTGAGATGACTGGGGGGGGGGTTGTGCTCGTTTGTTTTTCAAACGACGAGCTGCCCCTGCTCTAGAGAAGAAAAAAAAGGGAAATGAAAAAAAAAAAAAAAAGGGGATGGGAAGTTGAAAAAAAAAAAGGGGAGAAACGGCCGCGGATCTAGCCGCGGCCTCGGTCCAGATGCAAGTTTAGAAGCA